TCAGGTTCCTCACTGGGTTCTCTTTGAAGTAGCAGGGGTCAAGTACTCATGTGTACAGCAGAATCCTCCTCCCGCATTTAAACAGGTTTTTGGTTAGAAATCCAAGTCCACCACACACCAAATGTTGATTTGGACCAGTAGGTCTCATTTCCTGCATCATCTCTAGCTTGCATCAGACACCTACCATTTTACATAATACATTAAAAATCCATTTTATATATTTTTTGAAGAAAACAATTATGCGTTTGTTGAGCAGTCCAGGCTACAACATCCAGTCGCTTAAAGGCCATACAAGTCACGGTATGAACACAGACCATCCATATTCTTATTGCCTAATGCCTCAAATAATCTCAGCAAATGTTACATCATCAAAGATGGATGCCAATAAATGCTTCCACCCCTCTGCTGGCTTGGCATGTGCTATCTTCTCCAGAGAACCAGGGGGGGGGTCGGCTTTAAGCACCATGTCACTTCCACACCACGTTCCCCTCATGAGTACGAGGCCCTATAATTATCGTTCTCCGTTCCCCTTTTCCGTCTTCCCTCCTGCGCTGTAATTATGAGAGAAGGGAGTTACAAGTTTCGGCTCCCCTACATATTCCGAAGCACATCACCCCCCCCCCCATTAGCTTTCACATTTGGAAGCAGAGAAAAGCAGAAGCAAACATGTGTTTTCGCAGCTTCTGCCCATTACGCACAAATCTTTGCTCCATTACGACAAATCTCTCCATTCCGAGAACGAAACCCAGTTATTGCTGCCAGGTGTAACTGCGAGCCGTCAAACCTTCTGTATTTCAGACGAACTCGCCTCTCAGATAAAAAAGATATTCTCACGGCAAAGCAGGTTTTCAGTGCTACTCGTTACGTGCTGAGCAATGGGACGTCGATGTGGCAGTGCCCTTCGGCAAAAAAAAAAAAAAACAGCCAAATACATTGTTTCAATAGCAAAACAGGGAAGAGAAACAGTCAATATTGTCACCTAATCTGTCCATCATTAAGGAATCTAAAGGGGATAAAAATGAATTAATATGGTGACAGTATTTTCATTCAGGCCTCTTAGATCTTTCAAATCGCACGTTGTTCATTCTGTGTCATACGATTTCTTACTGTCCCAATAACCATCATCATACGGCATGACAAAATCGACGGTTTTATCAAGCGTACGGGGAATGGAGGCACGCTGGCGCACCTGAGAGTGTAAGATACGGCCAAGCAGATCGATTCGCCTGGGGCTGAAGCTTTTCTCCCCCGCGGTCGATCGAACGGAACAGCGGCGCGGCTGATCCAGGCGGCTCGCCCAGCACCGTACCGCCAAGGCTTCTCCAGGAGGAGGTAATCAGTGACAAAAAGACCTCAGACAGCAGCCAGGCGCCTTTGATCAAAAAAAAAAAAAATCCTCGGTACATTACAAGCAGCGTTAAAATATTTAATATTCCCTTTTGTATTCTGAGCTACCTTATTTCACCGTTAGCAGACTTGTAGATTCTAGAGACGCCGAGGTCTGCGGTTCCCTCCTTTTCTCTGAAGTTGATGGATCGCTTTGAAGACAAACCCCAGGTAGACGAAGATTGTGCAACCCCTCCCCCCACCCCATCCAGCTGCCTAAGTCCCCCTTCTGGGCCAGCCGCCTCCACTTTATCCAACTGACAAGTCTAGTCACATCAGGACCCAGACTGCGTGCCCGTCGCTGTCTGGCCAGGCGGGCAGCGGCAGGGCAGAAGGGGAGGGGTGTAGTAGCATGTGCATGCGAGGAGCCCCCGAGGGGTCTGGGGGGGAAGAGACCACCATTACGGCCCTTCGGAGCCCTGATTGCGCGAAGCCGTTCCATCACTCAGCCCCGTCCAATCATCTCCAGGACGGCGTTCTATCACCCGGCTTCGGCTCCGCACAGATCCCAGTGATCCCCTCCACGGCCCCAGCCACCTGCATCCATCGCCTCAATAAAAACAGACAGAACTGGGACTCTTTCGCGAAGATGGCAGAGGCCCAAAAATAGAAAGGCCCGCTGAAGTCTTCGAAAATCTTCCCGCTTCTGCTGGGAAAACGAAGCCAAAGAGGCGAACTCAACCCCTCCTCTCGTCTGTGTTCTATATTCATACGTGTCTTGACATCATAACCATACCTTACCCTCTGATTAAACGCACACGTTTCTGTGCTACCACTAGTCATTACTGAAACCTAACCTAGAGAGCCACCAAGCCCGAGATGACTAAGTTTCCGTATGTGGTTCCAACAGGAATTTTTTCCCATGTTTCATTTTGTTCTATTTCCCTGTCGGCTCGTCTTCTGTACACTCTTTCGTGTCTTATCATAGATATCGAGTTATATGGAACCATGGATTAAATTGAGTGAATACTTAAGATGCAATGCAAGAGAATTATGACCAGCTATTAAGCCCCTCCCCTCTATGCCACATGCCCACTTGCCATTGGGTCAGTACTTGGATGGTTTTTAGAAAGCTGGGCCTATCACATCTGAACTTTTCTTTGATCAGCCAATCAGCTTACACCAACAACAACTTGGCAGACTGTTTATTTCTGTCCTGTAGCCGTGGACTCCTGTACTTGCTGGCCTCTACCCTGCCCCTAGATCCACAATTCTTGCACCCTTTCATAGACTCCGCAACCCCTCCCCTATATAAAGTGCAATTCTCAGCAAATACCTACATTTACCGGCATGAGCACGCAAAATGAAGGGTCCTGTAGTAACCTTAAGCAAGGCAGTCACGTGGCATCGTTCCTGCGAGACATCCAGCCATATTAAACGCTAAGAAAATCACCGTAAGTTGGGCCGAATAAGCGTCAGCCAAACACTTAAATCACTTTCTTAGTTAATGAGATTCACCATCCCGCTCTGCGCTGCTAGTGAGTCCCACGAGGGGTATTTATGGAGCACCGGTGAGGATCCAGCGTCCCCGTTGCTCTTAGATGACACAGTGCATGCATGAGCTACATGCAAATTCACAGAAGCACATGAGCATCGCCTTTCCATCAGGCAATGTGACAAACGCAGGCACGTTTCAATTATGTAGTAGTAGTAATAATATTAATAATAATGGCACCATCAGTGAACCCGTAGTGTGTGAGCTGCAGATATATACTGTAGTACGTTTGCACCTGCGTTATGCCCCTGAACCGTATCACCATACGCCCACTAAAGGCAGCAGGCAGCCAGTAAAGATCGCGCTGAAATCCAGCCTAAAACAGCTCCGGAGCGCGGCGCCCCATAAGACGCGTGCGCTTCCACCGAATGCGGTACCTCGCCCGGCCAGTACCAGCAGCCATTTTCCACCCTTGTTTCTTCTACACCATGCATGATGAGGATAAAACGACGATTGATTTACCCTTAAAAGGAAAATATGAAGACCACCCCCCTGTCGTAAATAAATAAATAATGCAGATGGATGCGCAATACTGGTATCTAACGAAGGACGTCTATTTCCCCTCATTCAATGGCAAAAGGAAATAACCTATAAATACCGGAGCCGAAAACGATCCTGTTAGGCATCCGCCGCGTTTTACAACGCGCTCCATCCTAAGGGAGCCTTAATGCGCATCTTCCTAACGCTTATCTAAGCCGGACCGTCAAAACGGGGATGACATAACATTACAGCAATAGCATCATCCACCTATAAGCAACGATTTCCAATCCTATCCTCATCGCTCCCAGTCCCAGAGATACATTAGCCTACGCCGTTAGGAAGCCTGCGGGTTGCTGTGGGATATTTTCTGGGATATTGGTTTTACTTTTACGGGGGAATCTGTCTTTGCAGTGACAGGGACACGTAATATACATGTGTCTAAATTCCTAGTACATGAATATATAGGTTGCGTGGAATCAGCGTCCTTAATTACAGCAGTGAAAATGCATCATTCACGCTTAAAACACGTTTTCTTAGTGGCTCGTAAATTGCACAAGTCACTTTGTAAGTGGGGGGGATCAATCGTCCATCCACACCCTACCTCTAATGCGCATGTGCCCCTATGAGACAAAGGACTCGAACAATTACTTAACGTGATTCATTCATTCCCCAGACATAACAGTGGTACGCTATAGCGCGCCATATGAAGGCGTATTTGCATCCGGCTGCGTTGACATTTACGATAATTCCAATCCACGCCACGCGAACTGCTTGTTCCTATTTTAATGATGATAACAATCATAGCCGTATAGCATCCTCAGATTTCTGTCATAAAATCAAGATGGACTATTTCATTAGATTCACGCATTATTAACTTAAATACAATGAGCGGCTCCTGCGTATTTCTACAACAACGAACAAAATATTAAAAGCCAGCATAACGATTTTTATATTAAAAGAAATTATAGTAAAATAAAAAAGAAAAAGAAAAAACTGGTCAACGAGCCAGATGTCACACCCCCAAATAGACACAAAGGGGTGGGGTGCTGTTAAAATGCTTTTAGAATTAAGAATTCATCTTTATATGTGTGGGGTCTCTATAGATAAATAAAGCTAAATTCATCGTGGAAAAACACATTTTCCGCAATTCGTTTAGTTATCAAACTAGACAACTTTTTAATATCTGAGCGGCTGAATATCTGGTCCTGCTTTACAGATAAATTACTTAATTACGTGTACATGGTTCACGTATTATAAGTATCGGCACCGATGAAGGTGTCCGTATCGAATAAAAGAAATTTTGACTACAGCACAAGTGCAGAGATTAACACGCCCCTTTGTGCGACCATTTTCCTAACTAAAAATCCAACAGAAACGGCTTCACGTTTTTCTTTATTGCAAAACATTTCTAAAGTCTGGCCCATAGTTTCATAAAGGTATCCTACCAGCGGATCATTTTCTATATGCACACCATTTCTCTATCAAATATATTATCCTATTATTCCAAATTGCGCTGGAGTGCAAATGGAGATGGAAACGCAACTAGAGAAGAATGTAACAGTTAAAAAAAATAATATGCCACTTCTGAACAAAACTGAGGAATAAAATGCATGAAGCTGGACATTTAGGTGACTCTTACCGGTGTTTGCGGGGAAGTTGTACAGGGGTCCGCGGCTGGATGTTCTGGGCTTTTTTTTCAGCGGCGGGGTCTGTGCGCTCGGTCGCGGTGCCTCAGCTTAGTGGCGCTGTGCGCGTCTCCGTCTGCGCCTCGCAAGCGCGCGCACTGTAGCTGAGGGGCTGTTTCGAGCGCCGCTCACGGCATTGCTGACCTGGGAGGGCGCTGTTGTGCCGGCCGAGCTCGCTACGGTCCCACTGTGGCGCCAGACAAATAATTTTTCTTTATCGACATTTTATGCTCCCCCCCTCCCACCATTAAGGGTTGATTCGAAATACAAACTAGTCTTTTCATCACTAGACCTGAACGACGAATATTAGAGCATGTCATGTGTCAGGGAAATAAAATTATCCTCTGAAGTCATAATTTCATAACCCAGTTATCATTTAGGTCAAGACCATATTTGTAACATTTAGCGAGACGATACAAAGAAGAGTGTAGAATCTCTGGCACCGTAGACCTAGAACAGGTTATAAGATATCTTTCTGAAGTCTGGATTGAAATACTTATGTAATGATACCTTTTTTAAAACCTGCGTAATATGAACATGACACTTACATGACATCAGTGTCTGTTCGTTATATGGAGATATGACATGGAGGTATGTCAATATGTATGTGGTATGTGAATGTATGAGTGCATCATTTAGGAAGGTTTTCAAAAAAAAGTTGTGGTTACAGCTATAGCCCAGTGGCTGGCACACTGTAGCTGAAACGTTCAGACTGCAATTTGCAGATCTGTAAATTGTCACCAGTTAGGGTTCTGGCTGAATCCCAGGAGGATAAATCAGATCGAAGCCTTCACATAAACATCTTTGATAAATGCAAAAATGCTCTGGATATGAAGATAAATCAGTTCTCTATATGATGGCACCTTATAGAGTAATTCACACTCATGTAGTACAGGGCAACAGGAAGACCGACAGTCTGAGCAAAGATGGTTTGTACATATACCTGTATCTGTTTGAATTTGTCAGAGACAGTGTGTAATTACAGGAAAGCCACTGGGCCACTTCCAGGGCATATTAATCACGGCTGATTGCTGGTGATGTATGGCTTTGCTGCAGGAGGAAGCAGGGACAGTGACTTGTCATCCATCGCAGCAGTCAGGAAGACGGTATCCTGGGCTCAGCCGCAAGGAGTCAGGACAGCAGGAACAGGGAACAGCTCTGTCTGTGCTCTTTGTCTACCTTTACGTTTACATTCTGATTTACAGCAGCCGGTACAAGACCAGAGCAGCACAGAAAATGGATTTAATTGAAAGTAAATCACTTACATTTTTTTAACTCGATGTATACAGGAACTAACAGTTCACCTTTAACTCAGTTATGTATAATCTTCTGACTCACACCCTCCAAAACCAAACAAAAAACCCGCAAACTCCAAAAGCCAGTCGTCAATAGCTGAAAACCAGTCTGGATGGTGATTGACAACAGGCCCCGTGTTTGAATACAACTCGCCAGTGGCCCCTAGTGGTGACATTTGGTAGTGTATGTGTGGCTTTGATTTCTGCTCTGGTAACCAGCCTCTCCTCCTCACAAATCCATCCATCCATCCTCTCACCCATCACTTTCAAACAATTACCCCAGTCAATTCACATATTAAATAAGTGACACCCTGGTTATATGCTGCAGACACTAATGCTGAGATCTTCACAGGCAAAGTGAAAGTTGTTTAATAACAATCAGAGTAATTTGATAGTAATGTGAGAGTAACCGCTGCCTTTGCCCCTCCTTGTAGATCTGATTCAATAACAGGAGTACAATAAATCTTCAAATGTACCTCACCAAGCCTGTTTCACATGCCTATAGAGTATGTTGGCCCAAAGTAAATTTTCTCAAAAAGATGTTGCCAGAACAACAGTAATTAACACATTCAAAAAGCCCATATTTTAGATTACACTACGCTCATGGATACAGACTGCCACTCCATTCCAGTAGAAAGTGAATAAGGAAATACTGTAGACTACTACACACCTAAGAACAAGGGTTTGTTTAAGTCTTGTACAGCAAGGGGGGAGAACGACAAAAGACACCTACAGTTTCCTTCCATGGCAGTTTTAGGTCACCCATCTACATGTTCAGTAGATCAAACAGCTTCTACAAGACATACCACTTCAGAACTGACTGCAGAACCACGTGTGGGGAAAAAATATGACAGAGTACAATAACCGTGAAGACAGAGCGTGGTCAACACGGAGCAAACCATCAACCGTATCTTCTGAAGCTGACTCGCTTCTCCACCACGTCTCAAGTGACAAGCTCCAGGGGAAACTGAAAGCACAACATAAGGTCACGCCATGCTTTTAAAGAACGCGTGTCACCCCTCCTGCAGCTCTGAAGAGTATGATCCCGGGGCTGCCAGCTCTCACGCATCTGGCGTGACGCTCACTCTTTCAGACTCTCACACTCACGCAAGGAATCGTACGGTAAATCTACATTATACCATTATAAATCTAAAATTAGCTACATCTAAAGCGTTGGGGTAGTTTGCAAACCCTACTACTTATTTACAAAGTAATAAAACTGTTACATAGGCCTACATGTGAATGAGTGCGCAGGCTTGTCTCGCATTCAAAATCTCGGGCCAGCTAACTGACCGAAGTTGACAACCCTGCCATGCCCTTTGCGGCACCGTGCCATTTCCGCTAACCGCTCGCGTTAGCCACTGTCCTCTTTTCAGGACTTTGTTATGCTCATCCACCCACCGCACCCTCCATTCACTCTCAAAAGAGAGCTCGCGAAAGCAAGATCACAGATGCTCTACTTTCCGATCGCACCCCTCCGAACACTTCCACCGTGCAGCGTGAGTTTGCTCCGCTCCTGCTTCGCTGTCGCCGTTTCCACGTACCGTTAATTGCTGAAAGTAAAAGGAGCACTGAGCGTTCTCACATACGCCGTGTATTGCAGGAATACTCCAACCGCTCTAGTTTGTGATTCAAAAATAGTCTGCCTTTAAGTGTTTTCTGAAAATGCACATATTTATTCTCTCTGAGGTTACTGAGCAAAGGACGGATCCTCAGCACAGATCTGTATTCTGAGCACAGCCGTCACTGCTGTCACTCTCACGCTAACATGTATCGCACTGTGATGTTGCTATTGATTGTCTCAGGTGATTATAATAATTATACACACACATACACACACAGTCCTGTAATCATATCTTTTTCATTATCTCATTCATTTCTAAGGGAAAATGCCAATGCTAACTATGACAACCTTAACCCCTACACAGCCCCAACCATAACCATAAGTGACCAAACAAAATACAAGAGTTCATGCATTTTTAGTTTTTTCATTACAGTCACTGATTTTTTAAATAAATTTTCCCATATGGGAAATTGGTCCCATTAAGGTAAAAAAAACACGGGTATTCATCACATTGTGGGGACATTTGGGAGAAGGTAAGGTAAACCTGGACCTCACTCACACACACACACACACACACACACACACAGCTCCATCTCTTTGTTGTGCTATCTTATAACAGGGTAATTCCAAATTGTGATTGGCTACATCGCAGCTACATCACCCAAGCTATTTATAAATAAAACACCATTCTTTCTTCTCCCCTGCGCCTCCCACTTGGGCCCATCTGGTCCTGAGATCATGGTCCAGGGAATTCGGGAGTCATTTTCCATTACCCTTATGTTGTCAAACAGGGCCGCCTTAGTAAAATGTAACGTGACATGTTCTACAGCTACTTACCTGTGAAAGGGCGTCGTATTCGATTTAGCGTGATTGATTAAACATGGTAATCGCTTCCTTCAAATCGAACAGCAAACATCTCCTTGTGTAGGTTTACAATAGTATAACCAATATTCTGATGTAAACTAAATATAAAAACTACCTGCAGTAATTATTAATCTTCGCATTGGACAGTCAGTACTTGTGCTCATTTCATAGAATAGCAAAATCATTTCTTTTGTAGATAACCCTCCTAAATATTAGCATTTATAGATTTGATACAAAGGTTAAATGTTATGTCTGTTTTGATCTGTAATGGTTTGTCTGTCAGACATCAGATAATACCCACTGCAAAACTAAACTAAATGAATTACACGCACTTGAAACGCTCGTAGACTGTAGCAGCGATTCAATATGTCCTCTAGATGGCGCTTGATACACGCCGTGGAATTTTCCTAGAGTAACCCGTGCTACTGTTATGCGTTTGTACCGTATTAAACTAAGCGGGTACCTCCGAAAATAGTTTTATTCAGTTTCTCGCGAGATATCCTGTTTGTCGAAAAGATTTTTGAGTTTCCCCCCAGAATAATAATAATAATAATAATAATAATAATAATAATAATAATAATAATAATAAACCTTGAAATCACTGAGGTGTGAGGCGTCGATTTCCTGCACAATCTCAAAAGACTGGGCTATCTGTTCAATTAGAAGTCAAGCATCAAGTGTCTTCTTCCTGAAGATGATGTCATACTTATTTTCTGTGTATTAATTAAAGAGCTTCATTCTATTCACACTTTCCTATTTTAGCGTAATTGCAAAGGCATACAGGGGTGGCACGGTGGCTCCCCGTGTTGTCATGGGGTTTCCTGTAGGTACTCTGGTCCCCCCCCCTTCCCGCAGTACAAGAACATGCTGAGGCTAATTGGAGTTACCAAATTGCATGTGTGAGTGAATTGGTTGGTGCCCCATCCTGGGTTGTCCCGTGCCTTGTGTCCATGGGAGCCAGACCCCCGCGACCCTGAATAGGACAAGTGGTTACAGAAGATGGATGGATGGATGGTAAAGGTAAACATTCCAGCAGAATCGAACACAGGCATGCATTAGCCTGTCCATATGACGTCCTCTCATATGGGTTGATTTGTCCCCTGCATTGGTTGTACTGTCAGTGATGTGGTTTGGCGGGGAGGAATGCTCCAACTGGCTACCCACAGACTCTCGGGGGGGCGCAGTGTGCGGGGGAGGTGAATGTTTCGAATTAGTCACATGACTTTTGAAGGCCGTTTTTGAGGGCCATTTTTGTGGGCTGTCAGATTGCCGGAACGATTTCTCCATCCTGCGATGCGTTGGCTGCATTCCCCCGAAGCTGTACCCCCAGCAGAATGAGGAATTGCGCCATTCCGTGCGCATGCCTGACATTCCGCATTTTCTCAACAGGAAATGGCTGTGACTTAATTACTCCCCCGTTTAATGTACCCGCACATCAGGC